GAACTTCATGGAGCACAACTGGGTAACGACTATATAACAATAATCCCTATCGAAGATAAGCAATCGGAAGACTATTGATATGGATATTAATCAATATATACTATCTTCACAGCTCTCATGAGCAGTTTGTTTACATGTCTATTTTTAGACCCATGTGTGCCCGCGATCATGTGACTATTGTTGACATTCGCTACCTCACGGATAGTGACAATGCATTTGGTGTCACCTTCTAATGAAACAACATCTATTACACACAAATATCTCTATCAGTTTTAAGACTTTTGTCTGAATGCTGTATTTATATATGACTACCATTTGAGGATGTCAATGATATGCTTTATAGCCGCATGAGTAATACGGTCACTGATCACGTGCTTTGTACCGAATCATGTGACTATTGTTGACATTCGCTACACTGATAGTGACAATGCATTTGATGTCTCCGTTTAATGAAACAGCATGTATTACATATAAATATCGCTATCAATATTAAGATTTTTTCTGATTGTTGTACTTATATATGATTACCACTTGAGGATGTGAATGATATATGCTTTTTAGCCGCATGTGTAATACGGTCACTGATCACGTGATTTGCACTGAATTGTCGAGGGACAAGCAAGTCTGTTACCAGTTCACGACTGCCTGTCTGCAGTATGGTCTCCAGACGCCAAAAAGTGAGTTTGTAGCATATAAATATATGCATAGAAGAACAAAACATTCCTGCTGACAATAATTCTTGTACATTGAAAGATTTATTAATGTCAAATATATCGAGACTGTTATCGAACTGACCAGAACCGGAGTTACCTCCCTTATTTGACCTAGTTTTAAGACACCTCTTGTACACAGTTCTCTTGTATACATGCATTTCTCCATAGAATTTATACCAGATGTTATGAAGAAAGTGACACAGCGGCCATTACTTATACTTATTTACTAGAGGATGGATTTGACTTGTGGCAACGCCTTTTTTCAGCTTTTATGTTTTCAGATTTCTTTTATTATCTTGTTTTCTCCAAAAGAATGATAAACATTCATATCAGTAGGCATTTGACTTATAATACCAGTACACACATTATGAAGCAATATGGGTGATAAGATAAGAATAGCTTCAGCCAATTGTAGAGGCCTGGCAGAAAAGACCAAACGTAAAGAAATATTGAACCTTTGGCGTAAAAGAAAGTTTTCAATTATATGTCTGCAAGATATTCATATTTCCAAGGAAGATGAAACTACTATGAGAGATGAATGGGGTCTTCAAAGCATTATAGCACCATATAAATCAAATGCAAGAGGGGTCGCTATTTTATTTAACAATAATTTGGAAGTAAGTATCCACAAATTCAAGACTGACAACAGTGGAAACTATATAATAGCAGATGTAACTATAGAAGGAATAAGAATCACATTGACTAATATATATGGTCCTTATCAAGATCAACCTGATTTTTATAATGCATTATTTCATAAAATTGATGAATTTGAAAATGAATCTCTCATAATATGCGGAGACTGGAACTAAGTTCTTAATCCTTCCATAGACTTAGAAAATTATAAAAATATCAATAATCCAAAAGCAAGAAAAGTAGTGTTAGATAATATAGAAAAGTATGATTTGACAGACATCTGGAGGGAGAGAAATTATGATGTAAAGAAATACACATGGTGGAAAAGAAACCCTAAACAACAGTCCAGACTTGACTTCTTTTTAGTTTCTCAAGATTTAGCAAACATGACAACGGACTGTTCAATACTTCCAGGATATAAATCGGATCATTCAGCAATTACCATGTCTTTTTCTAATCAACTTAATAAGGAACGGGGTGGAGGATACTGGAAATTAAATACATCATTACTTTATAACCAAGAATATGTAAACAAAGTCAATGGTATGCTTTTTGAAACAAAATTAGAATACTGAACCTGCACTGAGGATGAACTAGGTGATATTGAAGATTCTAAACTACAACTTAACATAAGCGACACTTTGTTCTTAGAAACATTTTTAATGAAAGTAAGGGGAAAAACAATATCATTCTCTTCCTACTTAAAAAAAATCAAAACTGAAAAAATCAAAAATTTAGAAGGAAAGATTTTGGCAATGGAAGAAGAAATCAGAGAAAATTTCCAAACCATATGTGAAACTAAACTTTCTGAACTATCCAAATGTAAATTAGAGTTTGAAAAATTAAAAGAAGATGAAATAAGAGGTATACAGATAAGAAATAGAATTCAGTGGTATGACGAAGGAGAAAAACCAACCAACTATTTCTGTCATCTCGAAAATAGAAACTATACCAGTAAGCTTTGGAATAGTGTTATCAATGACAAAGAGGAAGTAATATCAGATGGTAAGGCTATATTAAATGAACAAAGACAATTTTATGAAAATCTATACTCATCAGGTGGTAAAATAACAGATAAATATATTAATATATTTGATGATATTATTACACCCAGACTGCACACTGTACAGGCTGAAAATCTTGAGGGTGATATTACTATAGATGAAATAACACGAGCCGTTAAATCAATGAAAAATAACAAAAGCCCAGGAGTAGATGGTTTCCCAATAGAATTGTTTTAATTTTTCTGGAAAGATCTTCATATTTGGGTTTGTAGATATATATCAGAAGCATTCAGGCAAAATATGTTAAGTCCAACAATAAGCAGAGGCGTTATCACATGTATTCCAAAAATAGACAGTTGTTAAAAAACTGGCGCCCAATTTCCCTACTGAACTCTTTATATAAAATACTCAGCACATGGATAGCCAATAGAATTAAAAAAAACATTGAATACTCTTATTCATGAAACTCAGACAGGTTTTATACCTGGAAGGTGTATTAGCGAGAACATAAGATTATTATACGACATTATGTTTGAAGCAAAAGTACAAGATAAAAAGGGACTCTTGTTACTTATTGACTTTGAAAAAGCTTTTGACACTGTCTCTAAAGAATTTATAATTTGAACAATTGGAAAGTTTGGCTTTGGACCCAATATGGAAAAATGGATCAAAATATTAATCAATAATGCTACATCATGTGTTATACAGAATGGTCATTTATCACAATTTTTTGACAATGAAAGGGGCTGTAGACAAGGGGACCCAGTCTCTCCCTATATATTCATCTTAGTGGCTGAAATTTTAGGAATAATGATCCGTAACAACACTGCAATAAAAGGAATTACATTGAATAACACTGAACATAAAATTGGACAGTATGCAGATGATACTGAATTATTTATCGATGGGCATGAAGAAAGTTTAAGGGCAGCAACTGACACTCTCAATAATTTCTACAAAATGTCTGGTTTAAGAATAAATATAGATAAAATGAAAGCAGTGTTGATAGGCTCAATGGCAGGTAAGAGCATGATTTTATGCCAGGATCTTCAGCTTGATTGGCATAATGGGGAATTTGATATTCTAGGAATAAGACTTAATCCTAATTTAAATAACCTTTGGGTAATTAATACAAGAAAAAGACTAGAAATTATTTATAGAACTCTAGGGAATTGGAGGAAAAGAAAGTTGACATTAATAGGGAAAATAACTGTTATTAAAACTTTAGCACTTTCATCATTGGTGCATATATTCACTTCACTCCCAAATCCTCCAAAGGAATTCATTGACAAATTAAACAATATATTTTATAAATTCATCTGGAATGATAAGCGGGATAGGATAAAGCGAACGACACTTATTAGAAAATATGAAGAGGGGGGACTCAGAATGGTTAATGTACAGGTATTCATAAACTCTTTAAAACTGTCAGTTTTACATAAATATCTTCAAAATAATAGCAGTTCTGGCCCTAGTATCTTTCCATTTAAAAGATATATTTCTGCTTGGAGCCAATATTGAAAATTATGTCAGTATTATGAATCCCTATTGGAAAGATGTATTGGCTGCATGGGGAATATTCTATAAAACACATAAAACTGATTTTACAGATATTGATCAAATCTTATCCCAAACCCTTTGGTTCAATCACCAATTCCAAAATAGTAATTTCATTATAAGACATTGGCATCTCAAAGGTATTCACTCTATAAGAGACTTGTGTAATGATCAAGGTATTTTGCCATTTAGTGAACTTAAGAAAACTTACAAAATTAAAGGCACAATTCTTGACTATTATCAGGTTCTTCAAATATACCCCAAAAATGGAAAGAAACTATAAGAAAGAATTTATTGATTGTTCATAATCATTATCTTGACACATCACTGATAGATTTACTTTCAGCACCAAAGAGATCCAGATATTTCTATGATAAACTTATAACTACTGAAAACCTACCTTCATCATGGGAAAATGGCAAAATATCTTTGACATTGCAATTCCATGGCAAGATATTTTTAGAAAATATAGAAGATGTACAAAAGGTACTAAATTGATTGACTTCCAGTTTAAATTTTTCCACAATATTGTCTACACAAAGAAAGAATTATTGAGAATGAAATTAGTAGATGATGAACTTTGCTCATTTTGTAATTTAATGTCAGAAAATTTGATACATTTTTATTGGGAATGTGAGTGTGTGAAAACGTTCTGGCTGAAACTGAAAGAATATATTGAAGATAAATCATCAGAAAATTTTACCCTGACAAAATATACAGTCTTAATTGGCGGAAATAATAACGACCTTATGAATCACATACTTCTTGCCAGTAAAAAATATATCCATATATCAAGTATTAAAAAAAATAAGTTATCACTGGATACATTTGTAAAAATATTGAGTGATATTTTCAAGACAGAAAAGTTTATTGCCAGTAGGAATCAAAACATATTACAATTTGACAGAAAATGGTCATCTCTACTGCACACATTCCCAGCCTAATGAATATCCCAATATGTGTAATGCCAACCCATATGAATTTCTGTTCTACGGTGTACAAGTGTTGTTGCATCATGTTCTTTGTATACTTGTATCTACTGATTTTGAATGAATAAAAAAACAACAACAAAAAAACAAATGATACGTACTGTTGGAAACTCAGCGTTCTGTCGATGCCCACTGTAGATACGTGTCACGACATCAGAGTAACTGGTTCCAGTGGTTGCGTGCGTGTTTAGGTATAACTGCTGTCACCAAGGCCTTCACCAACGAAACGAGGTACTTCGAAGCACGTCCACAAAGATACAATCAATAATATGATTTAAACATATTTGTATTCATGAAGATGAATTGGGATTGGTGAATAAGCATTACTGCCTATATTAACACCGCTCCCATGCAACATATAACACAACATGAAAATGGAGGATTTGACGTCAACGATACTGACCATTGCATAAAAATAATATATTTAAAATATATAAATATATATAGATTACATGAAATACAACTATTCTCTAAGTAGTCATAAGTTAGAGAGTTACAGTTGTGTGTGTCTCACAAGGCATTGTAGAAATATAAATCAATCATGAAATCAAGAAGGTTGTTGAGTACATTTAATTATTTTCCTGAGAAAATTTGAAGCGTTGTGTCTTGGTTATATAATCGTGGACGGATTCAACTATTTTCTGGTTTACACAGGGAGTAAGTTCTTTGTTTCCCTTAAGAATGGTATCCAGGTTATAACCGGTAGTGTAAAAATACATATTAAGTCTTATCCGAGTATAGTTACGGCAAGTAAGGAAATAGTGTAGGGCGTTTTCACTCTGATGTCCACAAGAACAACAAGGGCTGTCTATTAAATGTCTGTTATACTTATCGGCGTTGAGGTCGCTACATCCGAGCCTGAGGCGGCAGTGAACGATTTGGCAAAAACGAGTGCAATAATTAAGGTCAAAGTAAATCTTATTTTCAGTTTTTGTAATCAATAATATAAATCGGCTTACTGTTAAACGCGATCATGTGAGTAGTGTCGAGAATAATGTCACTGTGACCTGTTTATCCTCTGTTTTAATTATTTAGAATGCTAAACGGAGCATAACTGGCTTGGCAGTTTGTGGGTTCTAAAGTCAGATTCTCCCTGGTTGTGGCGTGTGGTTTGTGAGCACCTGGTGTCCCACGTTTGAAATATTGTTCAAAATGATGTTAAACAAAGCCTATGTGATATGATAGATTGATGATATGATAGACAGACAAACACTGACTTACAGACATGTTATATGATAGGTAAGATAGATGAATTGATGGAGGGATGATACATACATTCTTGTAATAGGTGTAGTATTTGTGTAGCATACATTCTTGTAATGTGTGTAGTATGTGTGTAGCATACATTCCTGTAGTGTGTGTAGTATGTGTGTAGCATAATTCTAGTAATAGGTGTAGTATGTGTGTAGCATACATTCTTGTAATGTGTGGATTATGTGTGCAGAAGATACATGTAAGTTGCATGTGTATGAATAATTCATATTACCTTATAAATAAGTCTATGCAAATGCGAACTTGTAAATATGTGTGTGTGTATGCATGTATATGGACAATTGTGTATGGTTTGATGAAAGCATTTATGTATACAATGGCGTGCCTATGCGTTTGGAAGTGAATGTATAGATTGTGTAGATATTTAGTTAACCAGCTTGTAATTGCTTACCTGAAGATTCTCCGTTGTCCCTAGTTTTTGGGTTGTTCCTTCCATAAAGGCGCATCTTGTCTTTTTGTTTCTTTTATTAAGCCATATCATGGTTATGGCTTACTTTATTTTCCTTTCTAGTTTCTTTTCATTGTTTCACTCAAAATCATGTTACACAGTGTCAGTTGACCTATACCTACATCAAATTACAACAAACGTAGTTACATGTATTAGTTTCTTTAGTTCAGTTTGTTAGTGTCTACCGCCATTGAATAACCCACTGGAGCCCACTGTCTTACCTGTTGCGACTCTATGTATGATATTTGATTATGGCTGATATTGAGCAGTACAGACAGGCAGTGGGTTCCTTTGCTGCAAAACTACATTCAAAATCTGCTGTCCGAGTTATGAAATCCATACACAGTTTTAAGTTCTTGAGTCTCTACAGCACCCAAGTATCTGTAATTGCCTCTCTCATCCTTCTCTGCTGTGGCGATATCCATCCGAATCCTGGGCCGAAATATTTCCGAGACCTTAAAATAATACATTTGAACGTACGCAGTTTGAAAGACAAAACTGATTTACTTGACGCAGAATTTCGATCTTATGACGTTATATGTCATACTGAAACCTGGTTGCATGCAGATTTTCGCAGTGTTGATATAGCAATACCTGCATATCACCTACCATTCAGGAAAGATAGGCAAACGCATGGTGGCGGTGTCGCGATGTATGTCAAAAGCAACTTACACGCCAAGCATATTGACAACCTTGACACCCCCGGGCTCGAGGTGGTGTAGATACAGATAAAGTGTAAACACCGTTATTACCTAATCGGATCCGTCTATCGAGCAGATAAGAGCGCGGGGTACTGGAATCTGATTAAGGAATCTGTCGGTAACGCCGTCTACCTGAACATGTATACTATCGTTGTCGGTGACTAAAATAGATAACCTTCAATTGATGTATGACCTTAAACAGATTATATCAGAACCAACTAGAATTACACCACATTTAAGTATCCTGATAGATCTGATTTTTGTTTCGAATATTAAAGCTGTAAATGACTCGGGAGTCCTTGACCCTATCTGCAGTGACCATTGTCCGATATTTGTGACCATCAAACAACCAATTCCCCTCCTTATAAACTATAAGAGGAAAGTTTATTACTATTCCTTAGTTGATACTGTAAGCATGAACAAGAGTGTCGATAATATTGATGGTGATATTTTATTTTCTTCCAATAATATAGATTTAACACCCACAATAATGAAAATCTGCGATCAACATATACCAAATAAGACTGTCACTATTAGACCTGCAGATCCGCTTTGGATGACGAGTCAAATACGTTCTTTGATTCGGAAACGTAATCGTCTACATAAAATTGCAAAGAAATGTAACCATCCAACGAAGTGGGCTAACTTCAGATCAGCAAGAAATAAAGTTACTTCCGCTATTAGAACTGCTAAACAAATTTTCGTTTCTAAAATTGAAGACTCTGTTAATACCTCGATCGGTACGAAAACGTGGTGGCGTCTGACGAGAGGGTTCATAAAATCACGTAACAATGACAATCAATTTGGGACAATTATCTTTAACGATACAATCTATAATGACCCTGAAGAAATCGCAAACGTCTTAAACCATTACTTTATCGCTCAGTCGACTATTGCTGATCCAAATCGAGATTTGCCTGATACCGAGTTTCCTTGTAGCCCAAAATTAACTAACATCACTCTAACCCGCGATATCGTCAGAGATATTTTAATGTCACTGGACACATCAAAAGCGACCGGTCCGGATGGGATAGGAAATAAAGTACTTAGATATACCGCAAATAGTCTAACATCCATACTTACGAATTTATTCAATTTGTCCCTTAGCCTGTCAATTTTTCCCAGTCCATGGAAAGAAGCTTCGGTAATACCTATTCACAAGAAAGATAGCGTACATGACTGTTCTAACTACCGCCCTGTCGCACTCACATCTTGTTTATCGAAAGTCTTTGAGTAATGTGTATTTAAATATGTATTCAATTTCTTAAGAGATAACGACTTAATGACAAATTTACAATCAGGATTCATGCCAGGAGACTCCACAACAAATCAATTAACCTTTTTGTACAACTTTATAGCCAAAGCTCTTGACGAAGGAAAAATAAAGCCTTTGATAAGGTCTGGCATAGAGGAATTATTTATAAACTGAAAACCTATGGTATCCAAGGCGAACTATTACAATGGTTTGAAAGTTATTTAGAAAATAGGGTACAACGGGTCGCAATTAACGGCTATAAGTCTGACAAGAAAACTGTACTAGCTGGAGTACCTCAGGGCTCTGTCCTTGCACCACTTCTTTTTCTGATATACATCAATGATATTGTATGTGATGTTGACAGTACCATTCGTCTCTTTGCGGATGACACCTCATTATATGTTATCATAGACGATCCATCAGTTGCTGCTACCTGTCTTAACAAAGATCTAGATAGAATTTCACAATGGGCCCATAAGTGGCAGGTTACATTTCATCCAAATAAAACCGAAACTACTCAGTTCTCACGTAAAACGAAACCGTCTGTAAAACCGAACCTATTCATGGACGGAACAATCATAAAAGAAGTCCAAAGTCATAAACATTTAGGATTAACACTCCAAAGCGATTGTACGTGGAATGATCGAACTAATGATATTGTACGTAAAGTTCGCCCTATGATCGTTGTCTGAGGAGTTTTAAATACCGATTATCACGTAAAACGTTGGATATTATGTATAAATCCTATATCTTGCCAATATTTGACTATTGTTCGCATATTTGGGATAACTGTACTTCTGAGCAAATGCGTACATTAGAAAATTTACATCTTGATGCTCTGAGAACTATATGTGGTGCCGTTCGTGGCACAAGTCATAACAAACTTTATAATGAAACCAAATCTCAGGCCATGCAAGATGGAAGGTATTGCCAGAAGTTAACTTTTTTCTAAAAGATGTACAACAACCAATTGCCAAAATATCTTTGTGACCTGATCCCAAACTCCGTCTCCGGAACTACAAACTACAGCTTGAGGAATAACTCTGAAATACAAGGAATTTACAGTCGCACTGCCTCTTATGCTAAATCCGTTTTACCTGCCACAATAAATTTATGGAATGCCCTACCAAATTCAAAAGCGTCATGTTATCTCACAGAATTTAAAAACCTAATTACAAAAACTGAAAATAAGATTACTTTGGCCTTAATTATGGCACTCGTTTTTGCCAAATCGTTCACTGCCGCCTCAGGCTCGGATGTAGCGACCTCAACGCCGATAAGTATAACAGACATTTAACAGACAGCCCTTGTTGTTCTTGTGGACATCAGAGTGAAAACGCCCTACACTATTTCCTTACTTGCCGTAACTATACTCGGATAAGACTTAATATGTATTTTTACACTACCGGTTATAACCTGGATACCATTCTTAAGGGAAACAAAGAACTTACTCCCTGTGTAAACCAGAAAATAGTTGAATCCGTCCACGATTATATA